CACCGGAAACGAGCCCGACTTACTGCCGGCAATGCGAACCAGACTCTGACACCGGTCGTACAAGGACCTGACAGCCCGTATCAAATGGCCCGATACCCCATACTCCCGGAGAACCCCCCACAAGGCCCCCCTTGGGACACGGTCGAACRCCTTCTCCAAGTCCACAAAATGATTATGATTTACACATAAATGTTTTTTTCTTGATAAATACCTTTTTAAATACTTGCAAAAATAATTTAATGTTCTCCTGAACCACAGATATTTGTTATTTTAGTGAAAGTGAAATAACAGCCATTATTATTAGTATTATTTCTGTAGCTATTTATTTGTTAAATTATTTTTCAGTCACTTTTTAGGTTAAAAAAATAATCGTGATATTGGGATCGTGATCATTTTTTTTGCCATATGGCCCAGCCCTGGTTTGAACCAGATCTGACCTGCATTTTGTGCCTCTACTTCTGTACTGGGCCAGGTCTGGGCCTAAAAATGATTAAGGGTTCTGAATCTTGGCCAAATGCAGTAGTTTTGTAGCACTTCTGGCCCAGAACCATTCCAGATCTGCACAGATTCAGACCCCCCTCACACTGTAACGTTTTAGACAACTTGTTAAATTTTAGACATCTCCACTGACTTAAAAATATCATCCAACTTTATTTATGAAGCGCTTTAACAGCAGCCACAGCTGAAACAAAGTGCTGAACATCTGCAATAAGTTAAATAAAGGAAAGCATAAAAAGTGACACACAATGATAGATTAAAAACACAATTTAAAACACAATAAACCTAAACCAACACACAAGTTAGAGCAATTGATGTACCTCTTTAAAATCTGCAGAAGGTGATTACTGTATTTTTTCATGTGTCATACTAGAAATTTAACCCAAAAAAATCATCGGGAGAGACTTTTTTTTATACTTTTTAAGCTAAAAAAATGATTGTATTATACTCGAGATCATATTATACTACATGTATAAATAGGGTAATTTAAAACAGGTGTGTTTGGAGCAGAAAAGCATGTAAAATATGCAGGAGAGTGGCCCTCAAAGACCCACCCCTGATTTAAATATTTCTGATTAATCACAGTAGAGTCCTCGGAGAGAGAGACACCACGCAGGACGKTTTAATCAGACTCTTAAGGATTCCACAGTAAGGTCAGCACCACACTGTTCATGTCATAATAAAGTGCATCTTTAAAAGTTTGTGCATGTGTGTGTTTGTCCGACAGTCACCTTGACTGCAAAGCTGCACTTGCCGCTTCGAACCGCCTCCTCATCCGTCTGCCATTGGTGTGGCCGACTTGACTCCGGCACATAGATGTCTTTCTTTCGCCGGAAGCTCTGCCGTAGCTTATTCATTGCTGGACTCCCTGTGAGGAGGAAAAGACGCTGCTTGAAATGAGGCTTCAGTGGTTACCATTTAGAAAAGGGTACACTACAAGTTTTAAAGTCTATGCGTGAAACACAAGAAACTTTTGTTTTATTTAAACTTTTAAGTGCAGCACAGACAGGAAACACTTTTTCTATATCAACACTGATAAAATCAAAGCAAAAACAAAAAAATATCCTGAAACAAGCTGGTGGTTCCCATCCTAAAACCTTAAAGGGGTCCCTGATTAGTTGTAACATTAGTCTTTATTTGATAAACATTTATTTTAACTGTAAGATAAAGACTGTAAAAATACTGTAGGATGTTTAGTTTTGTAAATTTTTAAAAATATATTTTAACACGGTTGGAGCCATTTTATTTACACACAAAGCATTCTGGGTAAATGATGACATCAACTAGGTCCTTGGTGCGAGGCTGTTAGCGAGCTATATCCACCCTGAAGCTTAATCTTGGACAAT